GTTCATCTACCTCCACCTTTGTGTGATGCAGGTCATTGCCGTGCTTCCCAGCCAACGTCTGCAGTTCCTCGTACTTGATCTGGTGCCTGGTTTCAGCCTCAGCTGGCTGCAGTTGGCTATCTCCTCATACTGGGCCTTGACCTCGGCAATTATGCTGTCCAAGCCCAGGGAGCAGCTGTTGTCCATGGACAGCACCATGGACGTGTGGGAGATCTGGGCCTATAGCTCACGAGTCTCCTCGTCATACAGCGGCCTGTAGAAGCTGATCTCGTTGGTCAGCCCTCCCAGGCGGGACCCCAGCTCTACCTTGTTCATGTAAGCTTCATCCACATCCTTCCTGATGAGGACAACTTCATTCTCCGTCTCTGTGCACTTGTTGAGCTAAATCCTTGTACTTATTCTTCAAGTCCTCCACCAGCCCCGGCATGTGGCCAAACTCTGCCTCCAGTCTCAGTTCCTCCTGGGCCAGTGTTTCCAGCTGCCAACGAAGGTTGTTGATGTTGCTCTCGAACATATTGTCCATGTTACTGTGAATCATCTTCTGCTGCTGCAGGGAAATCCGCTTGGTCTCCAGAATCTTATTCCACTGCTCCAGGCTCTGCACCTTCCTATCGATGAAGGAAGTAAGCTTGTTGTTGAAGCTCTTGATCGGCTCCTTCTCCTGGTTGTGCATAGCCTGGATGTTGGGGTCCACCTCCAGCTTCAGGAGGCTCAGCAAGCTCTGGTTTACTTGGATGGCTCTGAGGGTCCCCATACTGCCAGCTCTGGTGGAACTTGAGGCCAAATTCATGTTGGTGCCCAGGCCAACCCAGTAGCCGCTGCCCACCTGGAGAAGGCTGAGGAGCTGATGCTGGGCCCACTCGAATACAAGCAGCTGCTAAAGGCCTGAGGGCCAGAGGTGGACACCCTGTAAGTCTTCTGGGCCACCCTTGTGCACACAGTGGAGGCTGAGTGGAAGTGAGGAGGCAAACCAGACAGAAATTCAAGGAGCCAGAAGCTGCCTCTGAAACTTAATTTTGGGGATATGGTTGCCAAGTGGGCTCCTATTGTCACTTTAATTTGTGTTTCCCTAATTACTAGTGGGATTTTAAATCTCCATTGTTTGTAAGCCACATGCATTTTCTCTATTTGATATGTCTATTCAAAGCCTTTCCTCATTTTTCATTATGTTGTCTTCTTCTTATTTATTTGTAGGCATTTTTTTAAAATAAGATTTCAAAAGAAAAATAAAGATTTTAAAAGAGATTCTAGCCCTTGCCACGTAGCTCAGTTGGGTGGAACATTGTCCCGTGTACCACAAGGTTGCAAGTTCGATCCCCAGTGGAGGCATATATGGGAGGCAACCAATTCTCTTTCACATCAGTGTTTCTCTCTCTCTCTCTCAAATCAATACACATATCCTTGGGTGAGGATCTTTTTTTTTTTAAAGGGGGAGAGAATCCCAAACACTGGCGTTTCTTTTTTAAGATTTTATTTATTTCTTTTTAGAGAGGGGAAAGGAAGGTGATAGAGAGACAGAGAGAGAGAATTATCAGTGTGTGATTGCCTCTCGCACGCCCTCCCACTGGGGGCCTGGCCTGAAACCCAGGCATGTGCCCTGACTTGGAATTGAACCGGCGACGCTTTGGTTTGCAGGTCGGCACTCAATCCACTGAGCTACACCAGCCAGGGCAGGAAACCTCATTGTAAAATGGAGTTGAGAATACTTCTGGCTTCCTTGGGTGTGAATTTAAAAAGAGAGATTCTAAATACTAATTTTGTCTATCAGTCTTTTTCCTTTGCCTTGTGTTTCTTATACCTTAATACAGTTCCTGTCAGAAACATTCTCCTTGGTTTCTTCTAATGTTTTTTATAGTATAGGTTGAGGGGTGAAAAAGTACAGTATGTGGGTATGCTGCCTGTTTTTATAAAGTTTTATTGGAACACAGCCATACCCATCCATCTGCATTTGACGCGGATTTGGCTTTTGACGGAGCTGAGTAGTTGGGACAGAGACATGTGGCCTACAACATTGAAAATATTTACCATCTGGCCATTTATTTTTTAAAAAGTTTACCAGGCTCTTAAACTTTCACCTAACTTTCACCTACCGAAAAAATATTATGCAAACATTTCAAGTTGGGTTTTAACTTTTTTCAAGACTTTTTAGAGAAGTTTTAGGTTCACAGCAAAGTTGAGAGAAAAGCACAGAGATTTCCTGTGTACCCAACTCCCACTGTGGGCACAGCCTCTCCCATCGTCGATGTCTCCCCCCCACCTCCAGGTGGTAGGTTTGTTACCACCGATGAACCTGTATTGACACATCTCACCACCCAAAGTCCACAGTTCACATTAGGATCTGCTTTTGGTGTTGTGCCTACTAAGGGTTTTAACAAATATATAATGAAATGTATCTATCATAATAGTTTCACTCAGAGTATTTTCACTGCCCTAAAAATCCCCTGTGCTCCACCTGTTCATCCCTCCCTCTCCTCTAACCCCTGGCAACCACCGATCTTTTTATTGTCTCCATAGTTTTCCTTTTCTAGAATGCCATATAGTTGAAATCATACAGTAGATAGACTTTTCAGATGGGCTTCTGTCACTTAGTGATATGCATTTAAATTTCTTCCATGTCTTTTTATGGCTTGACAGCTCATTTCTTTTTAGCACTGAATAATATTCCACTGTGTAGATGTACTACACTTCATTTACCCATTCATCTGTTGAAGGCCATCCAGTTTACTCTGAGTTTTGGTAATTATGAATAAAGCTGCTATAAACATCCATATGCAGGTTTTTGTGTGGAACTAATGTTTTAACTACTTTGGGTAAATACCAAGGAGCATGATTGCTGGATTGTATAGTAACAGCATGTTTGGTTTTGTAAGACACCACCAAACTGCCTTCCAAGGTGGCTATACCATCTTGCATTTCCACCAGCAATGAATCAAAGTTTCTTTTGCTCCACATCCTCATCAGCATTTGGTGTTGTCGGTGTTCTGGATTGTAGCCATTCTAATAGGTATGTAGTGGTAAAACTTTTTTTTACCGTCTAATTAATTGTTCCAATATGATTTAATAAACAGGCCACTGATTTAAATGTCACCTTTTATACAATTTATTTATGTATACATGGACGTGAGAGAGACTTGGGAATAGAGAGAAGGAAAATCATTATCCTAGAATGATCTAGAAGATAAGTGGGGCAGAATTTCATCACCAAAGTTCACCTCTGGCAAACTGTTTGTTTTCCAAAGTCCAGTAAGAACATGAAAACAAAACACCAGCAGATGAAGTTGAACTTGTTGAAAGGATTACCTCAAAAACAAAAATAGATAGTTTCCTGTAGCAATAATTACATTCAATGATTTTGGGCTTTCTTTATTATTTTTTTCTCTAAGCCCTCTCTTTAAAAATAAACATTATATGTCAGCTTGACACAAAGGTGAGCATTCATTCTCAGAAGCACCATAAGACTGTTTTTTCAAAACTGATGTTTTCTTCTGCCCCAAATCCTGCTGCTTCTTGTGAATTGACAAAACCTCAAATTCTCGGGCTTTTTTCCAGTGCATTATGGCTTAATTTTTTAAAACATAGTTTAAAACATTTTCCATTTATTTTTATTGTTGACACTAATACAAATATTCCCATTTTCCTCCTCTTTGCCCACCTCCACCCATCCTCCACCTCCACTGCCCTCTGGCCATAATCACACTGTTGTCTGAGTCTATGAGTTATGCATATATGTGTTCTCTGGCTAATCCTTTCACATTATTTCATCCAGTGCCCCTCCCTCCCACCCCTCTGACAGCTGTCAGTCTGTTCCATGTGTCCATGTCTCTGTTTTGACTTAGTTTGTCATTTTATTTTGTTCATTAGATTCCACAGATAAGTGAGTTCATATGGTATTTATCTTTCTATGACTGGCTTTATTTCTTAGCATAATATTCTTCAAGTCCACCCATGTAATTTTCCAAAAAAAGACATTAAAATGGCCAACAGGCACATGAAACGATGCTCAACATCCCTGATCATCTGGGAAATGCAAGTCAAAACCACCGTGAGATATCACCTCACACCTTTACAATTACTGTCATCAAGAAGATAAAAGAAAACAGGTGTTTCTCAGGATGTGGTAAAGAGAGAATCCTTATATACAGTTGATGGAATGTAAATCAGTGTAACTGCTATGGAAACAATATGGAATTTCCGCACACAACCCAGCAATTTCACTTCTGAATATATACCCGAAGGAAATGAAAACAGAATTTTGAAGAGCTATATACACTCCTATGTTTATTGTAACATTACTCACAATAGTCAAGATATGGAAACAACCTAAATGCCCATCAATGAATTAATGGATAAAAAAGGAAGTGATATATACTTGTATATTTAAATGGAATATTATGTAGCCATGAGAAAGGAGGATATCCTGACATTTGCAATAACATGGGTAGACCTTGAGCACATTATGCTAAGTGAGATAAGTCAGAGAAAGACAAGTAGTATATGATACCATTTATATGTGTAATCTAAAAAAATCAAACTGATGGCAAGACAGAGAATGGGTTACCAGGGGAAGGGGGTTGGGAGGACAAGGCCGATGTCGTTTAAGGATACAGACTTGCAGTGAGTAGTAAATAAACCACAGAGATCTAATACACAGTAAAATGAATATAGACAACAATACTGTACTACAACCATCAACTTTACTAAGAGGATAACACTTCATTATTTCAACCACTAAAGAGAAAAGAGAAGTATATAGTGTGACAAGTACTAAATCACTACAACAACAATCATCTTACAATACATAAGTGTATCAAATTAACACATTGTATACCTTAAATTCACACAATGTTATATGTGAAATGTATTCAAAATATATTAAAATACATGAATAATAATTTTGTTTCTACCTTTAAAAAAGAAAAATAAGACAGAAAAGCCACCGTGAGCCCTAACATTGGGAAGCATTAGTTTATTTCAAAAGCAGTTGGGTGTAAGAAGAGTCTTCAAACAGACTTAGCAAAGTGGTTCTTGCTGAGCAGTTTCCTGAGGGCCCTCTTCAGCTCTCGGCTCCGTAGGCTGTAGATGAAGGGGTTCAGCATGGGGGTCACCATGGTGTATATTATGGAGGCTTCCATGTCTGTCTGGGTGGTGTTTGTGGATGTGGGGTTGAAGTAGACCCCAATGACAGTCCCATAGAAGAGAAAGACGACACAAAGGTGAGAGCCACAGGTGGAGAACGCTTTCCACTTCCCCCGGGTGGAGGGCACCTTCCACACAGCCACAGCAATAGGTGTATAAGAGGCAATGATACACACAAAAGGGACCAGAACCACTGAGCCCCCGAGCACCAACACCAGCATCTCGTTGACTTGCGTGTCAGAGCAAGAGAGCTTGATTAAGGTGTTGAGATCGCAGAAGAAGTGTGGGATCCTATTGGTGCAAAAGGACAAGTGGGTCATCAGAATAGTGTGGGCCATGGAGATGAGGTTGGCCAAGACCCAGAGTACCACCACCAGCAAGGCACACCGAAGGACACTCATGATTGTCATGTAGTGCAGAGGGCAGCAAATGGCCAGGTAGCGGTCGTAAGCCATGGCCAAGAGAAGGAAGCTGTCTGCGCCCCCAAATGCGATGAAGAAATACATCTGGACCAGGCAAGCGGCGAAGGAGATGGTGGTGTTCCCACAGAGGTGGTTCAGCAGCATCTTGGGGATGGTGGTGGAGGTAAAGCAAATGTCAAGGAGAGACAAGTTGCTGAGGAAGAAGTACATGGGGCTGTGGAGATAAGGGTCCGAGATGATGGCCAGGATGGTGAGCAGGTTCCCCAGGCACCCAATCAGATACAGGCTGCAGGACAGGCTGAAGAGTGCCTGCTGCTGCAGGGGCTGCTGGGAAAGGCCGAGGAGGATGAATTCGGAGACTTGGGTCTGATTGTCCATGTCCCGGCAGTTCTAAAACCAGAAGCAAGGGCATCAACAGTGGGTGGACTCTTGGGGAGGAAATGAGTTACCTCATTGTTGTCCGTCCTGTTCCTCTTTGCAGGTTTATCTCAACTTCTCTGAGCTGCAGTTTCCTCATTTGTTACATGGGATTAATAATTCTTATCTGTTAGGATTGTTATAAAGATTAAGTGAGAAAAACACGTACAAGGGGCTTATATTCCTTCCTGACATGTTATATGGGCAATTATTTTTCTTAGTGGAGTTCTCAGTGATGCTATCAAAATAGTGACATAAATTAGCTTGACTGTGGCATTGATTTTACAGTGTATCAACACATCAAGGTTTGCACCTAGTCATATATAATTTTTTATTTATTTATTTTTAGGGAGAGGAAAAGAGTGGGAGAAAGAGAGGGAGAAAAACATCGATCAGGTGTCTCTCGTACACTCCATGACCTGGGACCAAACTCACAACCCAGGCATGTGCCCTGGCCAGGAATTGAACCAGTGACCTTGCAGGATAGCACTCAACCAACTGAGCCACACTGGTCAGGGCTAATTGTATCTAATATTAAACAGTCAATTATACCTCAATCAAGATGGGGAAAGAGAAATAAACATGTAATAAATAGCATCAAGATTTCCAGGATTTAAAAAAAATAAAAGTAAATAATAGTGGTCAAGGGCATTAACTACAAAGACAGACAGCCTAGGTTTAAATCCCAAGTCTGCAACTTACTAGCTGTGTGACATTAAGCAAGTTACTCTACCTCTCTGTGCCTTGGTTTTCCCATCTGTAAAATTAGGATAATAATAGTATCTGCCCCATAGATTTGTTGTGAAGATGTGATGGGTTAATATGTAAAATGTGAACCTTATGTATTTTTCTGAGAGTTAAGATCTCTTGGAATAGATGGGTGATCACCAGAGGCAGGGCGTTGGGGGGCAGTGGGCAAAGTAGATAAAGGGAGTCAAAAAGTACAGATTTCCACTCGAAAGTAAATCAGCCCTGGAGATGTGCTGTACATTGTGGCAACCATAGTTAACAATACTGTGCCGTCTATTTGAAAGTTGTTAAGAGAGTACATCTTAAAAGTTCTCATCCCAGGAAAAAAACCTGTCACTATGCGTGGTGATGGACATTAACTAGACTTATTGTGGTGATCATTTTTGTAATATATACAAATATATTACGTTGTACACCTGAAACTAATACAATGTTATATGCCGATTATACCTCAATTTAAAAAATCTCTTCCTGTTTGAGAGCAAGAGCTCTGGGGTCCAGATGGATTCTGTTTGAATGCCATTCCTGACACTTATTAGCCACAGGAGCCAGTGACAGACAAGCCCAAAGCCTCAGTTTCCTGAGAGAATTAAGTGAAACAATGAGTGTGGAGCTCTGTAAAGGATGCTTTTTTGAAAAGGCACCACTCTGGAATGTCCCAGTAACGCATTTTTCACACCACTGATGTCTCTCTCCTTCTTGGGCTGTGAGAGCGTACAGATTCATTGTGTCCTGCCACAAATTCTGGCTTCATACACCAGGTGAGACTTGCCTAATCTTGAGCCTGGCCTCCCCTGGACAGCCCATTGCCTCTGTATCAGTCAGGTTAGGCTAAATTATGCTGTGGTAACATACACACCCCAATCTCAGTGGCTGACAGCAATGAAGGCTTATTTCTCATGCAGGCTACATGTGCATCACAGGGCGCTATGGCTGTGCCCCTCCATGATGAATTCTCTCTGGGACTCAGGCAAGTGGACAAACCTTTGTCTGGGATACTGCTGCTTATGGCAGCAGTGGGAAAAGTGAATTGTATGTTGGCTCCTAAGTGCTTCTGCCAGGACACACCCTGCTCTCACCCTCAATCACATGTCTATGGCTGAGCCTGGTGTCAAGGGGTAGAGAGGTGGAAATCTCTCCCAGGAAGCAGCAGCAAATATATGTGAAAAATAATAGACTCTCCAAAGCTTTGCAGTGACCATCCTATTCTCCTGAAGGCTGAGGAGACGAGTGCATGCATTTCTCTGTGAGACAACATGCCTGGTCTTTGTATCCCTGGAGTCCTATGTTCAGAACCCAGGAGAGCTGTTGACCCTGCAGTCCACGCACTGGATGCTATGCCAGGCTCAAGGCACATGTGAGGCATAAACATATTTATAATACAGGTGGTAGCTGTTATGATGCAAAGGCAGCTTTGCATCACTGTCATTTTCCACACTTCCTTTACTCGTTTCATTCAGTGACTGAATTTCTGGCTCCAGTGTCTACTTCTCTCCAAACTCTTATTTGATTATCCTGTTGTTTCTGAGCATCACCCCTAGACCCCTCCTTCCCCAGCCACTCAGTCTCACGGGGTCCAAAATGGGATGTCCCCTGCCAGAGCTGCTGAGGTGTGCACTGCACACCTGGGAGCCATGCACTGGGGTGTGGGAGCAATTCCACGGGGTGCACAGGCTGCACAGCCTTAGCCAATACAACCAACTCCTCTCTTGCCTCTCACATCCCATTGACTCCTGATTTGTGGGTTTAAAACATCATCTTCATTTCTTGGACAGAAGAAGAGAATTTATTTCCAGAGTGAGCACCCCAATCCAGGCCACCATCATCTCCCACCTGGATGACCCATCATGGAGTGGGCTCTCCATGGCCACTCTCACCCCTTGCAGTCCTTTTGCATACTGCAGCCAAAGGGACAGTGAAATGTAGATGGAGTCTTCCCCCATGTCACCCTGCCTGGCTCACCCCTGCTCCTCTCACTCCCAACACCCTCAGTTTCCATCTTTCTGGTTTTGTCCTCTGCCTTGGAGCCTTGCACCTGCTGCTTCCCCTCACCTGCATTGCCTTCTCTTCTGCTTTCCTAATGCCCCTTTTTTGAGTGGAACCGAGGGGCTCTCAACCTGTACACTACTGACATTTGGAGCCGGATCCTTTGTTTGTAGTGGGGGTGCCCTCATGTATTATGGTAGGAAGCTGAACCCTGGCCTTGACCCACTGGATGCCAGACGCACGCCCTCTCATTCTAGTTGCAACAAGCAAAAATGTCTTGAGGCCACCTGGGAAGGGTTCAAAATCCTCCCCCACCACCTTGAAGATCACTGATCCAGGTTGAAGTCTGTGAACTCTCTCCTCCTGCAGCACCTGCTCAAGCCTTGAGCAGGACTATGACATTTATTGGATGCAAGCCACCTTTGAGCTAACAACCACTTGGCACACATCATTCCACTGAGCTCTCCACAACCCCACAAAGCAGCCACACTTAACTCCTGCTTGGAACTAGGATCCCATCTAGGCTCTGGTTCTGGAGTCCACTCTCTTGACCAGTTCCCGATAATGCTGCTCACGCGTGAGGCTCTGTGCCGAGCACCTTGAGTCCTCATGGGCCAAACTGAGCAGAGAGCACCTCAGCCTCTGAGGGGGAGTTCTAGGGCAAGTAAGACCACTCCCCTGTACTCATTTACCTCACACACTTACTTGACCAACGACTTTTGTGCCTCCATCAGATGCCAGGACCTCTTAGCCCCCAGGTGGTGTGTTTCCAGGGGCTTGGAACTGCTGCTGCCTCAGGTTTGTCTCTTGGCTATGGAGGAGGGATCTGCTTTCTCTGGGAGCACACAGAAGAGACACTGCATCAGGTTTATAGCAGACCCTGTGGCCCCTGGGGTGTATGCCCAGAGAACCTCATTAGAATGAATACAATGAACTCATCTTCCCTAATGGGGCCTTTGAGCCTGGCACGTTGGTGGGAAAGAATTTTGTCTCAAGAGTGTCTTTCTTTAGACTTGTTTCTCCCAATTGAATGTACCCAATTTTCCTAGGAATAAGGTTTTTTTAAAGATTTTATTTATTTATTTTTTAGAGAGGGGGGAAGGAAGGGAATGAGAAAGAGAGGGAGAGAAATATCAATGTGTGGTTGCCCCCCACATGCCCCCAATTAAGGACACAACCCATAACCCAGGTATGTGCCCTGACTGGGAATTGAACCATTGACACTTTGGTTTGCAGGCCCATGCTCAATCCACTGAGCTACACAGCCAGGACAGCTAGGAAAAAGCTTTAAAATATATTAGGACTAATAATGTTTTAGTATGTTAAGTATTTTTATGTGGTTAGAGCTGTGGAAAGCATACAATGTCCTATAACTCTCACAAAAGCCCACTGAGGAAGGAAATGAGAATCTCACTTGCCCATCATCACACAGCTTGGAGTGACAGATCTAGGATTCAATTTAGGCAGTCTGGCTCCAGGGCAAAACTAATGAACATAAATGGCCCTGAGCACACACACAAATAGATTTTAATTTGCTCTGTACGGCTGAATACTATTGCATTGTATGTATATAATCCAGAAGTTTCTAGTGTGTTCACAGAGCTGTGCAACCACCACCATAATCAATTTTAGGACATTTTCACCAAAAAAAAAAGCTCTGTATATTTTGGCACTCACCTCCAATTTTCCACTTCTCCTCCAGGTCCAGGCAGTCACTAATCTTCCTTCTTTCTCTACAGATTTGCCCAAGGTGGACATTTCATATGCATGGAATTACACAGACTTTTGATCTGGTGTCTTTCACTCACTATAATGTTTGCAGATTCATCCATGTTGTAGCATGTATCAATAACTGGGTGTATGAGGTTTGTCCAGAAGATATCCAGCCATGCAATATGAAAAAATAGAGACATTTATTGAAGAAGATACAAGCAAGATATAAGGAACATTGTACATAGGATAGTGATGCCTCAGTCCCCTTCAAAGTAGGTACCTTGGGACCTCACACAGTTCTCCCAAGTGCCGTCATTTATATTTTTCCAGGAATATATTTTGCCTAAGTTTATAAATGTATGGTGTAAAGCTATATTCTTGCATTATCTTTTTATTGAGATATATTATACATATACTAGAGTGTATAAAACATTTGTATACATTTTAAATAATAATAACAAAGCAACTCTTTATAATTAGCATTCACATTAAGAAATAAAACACTACCAAAA